TTCCCTAGAACAATGTTGTAACATATGTTTAGTACATCCCTCTTGTTTACGACACATTTCATCCACTCTTTTATCTGCCATCTGCATTTTAGAAGCAATGAAACCATGCCAACACCTTCAAATGGAGAACTCTTTTTTAGACTTAATTAGCAGTCCCTAAGTGGTTTTCAAGATCCTTTTTTAATCCAGCATTTTCATCACTTGTTCCAGCCTCATGCCTAGAATGCTTCTTGTTTTTTCTGATTAATGCTTCTTGTTTTTTCTGATTGTTTCATAAACATATTTCACACTGAGCTAACCTTTGTTACTCTAATGCCAAACCAAGAAATCTTTACCCCCATGGTGATTGATTCGGATATTGAGAATGATGTCGACATCCAGAGAGTACAAAGTCTGCAAAATTAAATCCTTATCCCAGACCTTAGTCTCATGATTAATCAAATCACTAACTCTATCTACTCTACTCTTGTCCCCTTGAAAGCTACAAGCAGGCTTGAATGTAGGGTTGTTAGCCAAGGTGGATCCGAGACTAATATAGATGTAACGCCCCATTTTATTTTAAAGAACTTACCGAATAAATTTACAAAAATAACAGTTTTTTTTTTTTACAAAAATCAATTCAAAATTTAGAACTCATCGGGCACTACTTAGCTATCGACAGCATTTAAACAATTACGACAAATAATTAAATTCTACACATGCATAAGCCAACACATATAAATATAAACTGACATATTCATAAGTCTCAACGTCATTCAAAAAGCTTAACATAAATCCATGGTTTCAAGCGGAAGCATAAATAATCCAGAATGAAAGCAATTAGTTTATCATAAATAAAAACAAGCGGAAACAAAAGACACATCCAATCAATGGCCACCATCTCGCTCGTCTCTACGCCACCGCCTCCAGCTCATCTCAACCTAAAGAAGGAAGAGAAAAAATGCCAGAAAACAAACAATGGGGGTGAGCATAACCAACAAGCTCACCATTATCGCACAGTTATCCAATATAAAGCATTTTAAAACATTTTTCGCAGTATGCATAGAACCCAAGGTCTAAACGCCTTACTCAACCCTATCGCAAACATCCTATGTACATACAACAACCTCCGGATACAACAACATGGAAGTAACTGGAAACCTTCCCACCCCCGGGTACAACGGTTCCTAGGATCCTTTCCAGGAGACAGTGGAGATGTTTTTTCCCTTCCGGGTACAACGGCTTGGGGCATCTCCTCCCGGATACAACGGGCAGGTGACCTCCTACTGTCTTCGCATTCATAAAAGGCACTATTGTACGGGAAACCTAGACTAGGGTTCTCACGCATACAACAATTTTCAAACGAAGCATTATACGAATAAAGAGTGCAACAATTATGGAATACATCACAAATGTACCCACATGTTTGCAGCGACAAAACACAATCACGATTCTCGAAGGCAGGGTGAGGTCAACACATCTAGACACCTACATAAGTCCAGATACTAAAGTCAACGCTTTATCTAGACCTACGTAGAAAATCACAAATTTGACTTAGCCGAACTTGATTCGACTAAGGGGTTCGTGAAGTCCTGTGGATATTGAAACTCTAGGACTTAGACTCGATCATACCACTTATTGGAGATCTCACAATTTCAAAATAAAGATAATCGAAACAAGCCACAAGGAAACACATAACATGCCGATTACCCAATTCTTAACCAAACTTTCTATCTAAAAACAATTTCCAAGATTTACCCATTTTTAAGAAGGTCCAGCAAACCAACGAGTTGGGTTCTGAAAATTTAACACAAAATTGACCTCCCAATACTTAGAAAAACCACTAAGTTTCAGCCCCAAACTCATTATACAAAATTTAATAAAATTCATACAAGTTAACAGCAAAAACAAACATAAATTTCACAACCAGACCTAATGAACAATTCAGTAGTTGTTATTTTAACACCATAAACTAAAGCATGTGGATAACATCATGTAAACATTTCAGCTATTAACATCAAATACACGAATTATAAAAAAAAATCATACAAGTTTCTGCAGTTTTCGAATTTTAATTAAAATCGAAACAATTTGAACTCTAAAAATTTTAATCTTTTTACAACATGAAACTCCACATAAAACAAGCACTTCAGCCAAATATCAGAATTTTTTAGCAAGACCAATTTATCATAATTAAAACAACTTTCAGCAGAATACTTAAATAAATTATTTACCCTATCTATCTTAGTCCAAAAATTCTGAAAATTTCACACAACATCTAAATCAGACAGAGAGACAACATACAAAATTTTTATCAATTTTGGATAACAACTCAAATTTTCATGCAATTAATACTATTCTGCCCAGAAATCACTTTAATTATTTAAAATAGCTACAGGCAGACTAAAATTACGAAATTTTTATACAACCTACTTAATCAATAGAGGATCATACATTTCAAATTTCACAGCATTCGGACAATCGTGCAATTAATGGTGAATTTTACACATAAAACAACAATTACAAACTTTGAAAATTCATAACTAGGGGTGGGCAAAAAAACTGAATTTCCCCATACCGAACTGGACTGGTATGATCTCATTCCGAAAAATAAGGTTCCGAAAGGTTTTATTTATTTTCGTCCCGTTCCCGATCCCGAACCGTTTTAAACAATGTCGGTATCAGTTTTGAATATTTTTGTCACGAACCATCCTGTTTGTCCCGTTTTAATTAATTTGTAAAAAAATATTATATATTATACATATATATATATATATAATAAATGATATTTAGTAAAGTAGTAAACCTGTTCAATGTTCAGGTTTCACTTTTCAGTTTTGAGCCTTCAGCAGCATTCATTGGCCCTAACGCAACCCACATGCTTCATTTTGTTTCAAATTTAATTATCAACCTAATGGGCCAAGTTAGTAAATGAAAGTCTAGTCCACAACAAATTTCACTAACAGTCTAAATGTAACACATTACACTATTTCTGTATTTCTTTTTTTCACTTTCAGAGATCAAATCGAAAGTCGAAACCCTTCTTTCTTCCATTTCCATTTCTTTCTTCTCTATCTCAGTTTCTCAATTTCTCAATTTCCCTTCTTATTCTAAAATCAAATCGTCAATTTCCCTGTCAATTTTGGTTGCTTTGTCCTGAAATCAAATCTCAATTCACAAAATCAAGAGCTCTAATTCCAAAATACCATGAACAAAATTTCTGCAACTGGGAGTCATTCACAGATAATGGAAACTCCACCAACACCAAGCAGTGCTTCAAATCCCATGCCTATGGTGGTGCAGCCCCCAAACATGCCAACTGGTCCAAATATTCTCTATGCGCTTCCACCAGGTATGAAGGCTAGGGTTTACACGTCCTCAATTTGGGAACATTTTACTACATATTGGGTTAAAAGTGTTAGGAAAGTTAAGAATATGGAGTCGAGGCTGATTGAGGATGTCATTGAATATAAAGAAAGAGCTAAATGCAAATATTGTCCAAAGGGGCAGGGTGATTTTGCTGCTGAGAGTGGACCAAATGGGACTGGGGGACCTAACAAACATATACCTAAGAAATGTAAATGGTATCCTGCAAATATTGATTTAAGCAAGCAAAAAGTTATAACATGGGATAAGGGTAATTATAACCAACTTGCTTGTAGAGGTTTTGATAAAAAACAGACAATGGAGGCTTGTGTTGAAATGGTAGTTCTTGATGAATCGCCATTTATTTTTGTGGAGAAATGAGGGTTTAGGAAGTTTTGTGCCACAGGAATGCAATTGTTTAAGGTTCCATCAAGGAGAACTCTTGTCAGGACTTTCATAGAGATTTATGAAGTTGCTTCCCAAAGAGTTATTTTAACCACTGGTACTTGGACCAGTGTCCAAAACAGCAACTATATGGTTTTAACAGCCCATTTTATTGATTCCAATTCGAAAATGCATAAAAGAGTGTTGAATTTTTGTGTTATTACCAACCATCAGGGGATTACAATAGCTAACTTAATTGAACAATGTCTATCTGATTGGAGAATTGATAAAGTTTTGACTGTGACAGTGGACAATGCTTCTGCCAATAAGTTAGCTTTAGAGCATTTGGTTGAAAAGCTAAATGATTGTGTAAATCCACCTTTGATTTTGGGGGGAAAACATATGCACATGAGATGTGAGGCACATATTACAAACTTGGTTGTTGGCAGTGGTCTTAAAAAGCTGAACTCTACCATTTTTAGCCATTAAAAATGCTCTAACATTTGTAAGAAGCTCACCATCTAGGTTGACCCTTTTTAAGAAGGCTATGGTTAGGGAAACAATTGATTATAAGGGATTGGTATGCTTAGATGTGCCAACAAGATGGAATTCAACATATTTGATGTTGGATTCTGCCTTGAAACTCAAAAAAGCTTTCAAAAGAATGGAACAAGAGGTGGACAGCCCATATCTTGCATACATTAATGAGCCTGATGAGGAGATTGATGAGGATGGAAATGTAATTGTGCAGAGAAAAGACAAAAAAAATTTGGGCCACCAAGGGATTCAGACTGGGATGCATGTGAACATTTTATAAGTTTTCTTCAAGTTTTTTATGATGTCACACTTAGGGTAAGTGCCTCTAATCATCCCACCATTCACACTACCTTTCATGACATTGTTAACATGGAAGAAGCTATGATCAGCAAGTTAGTATGTGCCCCTCTTACTGCAACTCATAAATTAATGGCTGACATTGCTTCACTCATGAAAACCAAGTATAACAAATACTTTGGTCAACTGAAGGATATGAATCCTTTACTTTTTGTGGGAATTGTGATGGATCCAAGGTTTAAGATGAAGCATGTCACTAAATTGTTGTCTGTTGATATGATTGGAGTGCTTATGAGGTTGAGAATAAGGAAAAAGAGATCAAAACACTATTGTTTGAGTTGTTTGAAGAGTATAGCTCACAAAATGTTAAAAGTTTGAAGAAAAGAAGTGTAGAGACACTGAGTAGCAGCAACAATAACAACATGAAGAGGCAAAAAATGAAAGAAGCTGATTCAAATGTTAAGAGTAGGGTTAATATAGCTACCAGCAACATGAGGTATGTTGTTGATTGGACCAAACATGTCACAGAAACTGATGGGGCAACAATAGAGCATGAGATTGATGCATATCTGAAAGATCCTTTGTTAGCCATTAAGGATCAGAAAGGTGATGACCTTGCTGCTGAGGATGTGATAGAGAGATACAAATCCTTTGATATATTGCAATGGTGGAAAAATGCAGCCTCCCGATATCCAATTCTCTCTGCACTTGCTAAAGATATTTTTGCTATTCAAGTATCAACTGTGGCTTCTGAGAGTGCTTTTAGCACAGAAGGGAGAGTCATTGATTCATTTAGGAGTTCATTAACTCATAAATCTGTGGAGGCCTTGATTTGCATGCAAAATTGGCTTAGAGGAGATGACATAGTCATGGACTTTGAGAATGAACCTTCAGCTCAAGAGTTAGAATTCTATGAAAATATTGAGACAGGTACTATTTACTTTTTAAGTTTTAGAATTTTATTATTGGCTCTTATAATTTATAAACTATAAAGTAATATGTAATAAATTATTTTCACTTTCATGCTTTCAGTTTCACTTTCATTCTTTCAGCTCAAGAGTTATAATTTATTTTCAGTTTCAATTTCAGACTTTGAATTTGATTATTGCTCTTATAAATTATAAAGTAATAATTCACTTTGTTTTAATGGTTTCCATTTTGTAGAGCTATACAATGTAAAAATGATTGTTGGGGATAAAGTGGTTGATGTGGAAAGTTTAGAAGATGAAGATGCTGGTTATGATGACTGGAATTAGGGTGCAGGGTGCTTTCAAGTTTGAATTTTGAAATGTGTTTCTTTTTGTGATAGTTGTTGTGGAAAACTGAAAATTGGAATCAGACAATAAGTATACGGTGCTCGTTTGTTTTAAGACAATGTTTAATCTATTTATGTATTTTATACTTTCAGTATTTTGTGTTCAAGTGAAGACTGAATCATATAGTATGAGTGTATGACTGTATGTACTCTACTTATGGAATGATACTAATTGGATTTGGTAATTGGTGTAAGTGAACTTTAGAATCAGATTTGAGATTTCTATTTCTTTGTGAATGACTCAGACTGAATGTGAATGTGAATATGTGATTGTGAAGTGAACTAATGAATGTGTCAGTGTGAAGTGAACTACTGAAATCAAAGTATTAGATATTCGTTTGGTCATCAGTTTGAACTTTTTTTAATCCGTTTTGTCCCGGTCCCGGACCGTTCTGTTCCGGTTCAGATTTATACCGATCCGTTTGGGACGGTGTCTCGTCCCGGACCGGTTCATAACAATGGGACAGGTATCGGTACAGGTCAAATCCCGGACCGTCTCGGACCGCGCCTTCCCCTATTCATAACTCCTAATCTACTAATCGAATTGACACAAGGTCAGCACCATTGTGTCCATGACAATCCTAAGTTCCTAAATCCACAGCAACTTAACGTTTTTAACGATTTTTCGTTCGATTCGCATGAACCGACAAAATTCACATAAAATCATGTTAACAACATGAGTATATCATCACAATAAATTCATACAAAATTAACATCAAAGAGCACATGAATTTGCAAGGTACGATTATCGCATTAAACGAATACGAAGTTAATCAACGAAGGGTCAAGGTTAGATACTGTTCTTGGGAAGCGAGTGAGAATGGTTCGAACGGGTTGACGGGACATCTAGCTCGACGGTTTCACGCGTCTCGCTGGAAAAAGAGGAGCAGCAGCGACTGTCCTTGGTGGCTTGGGTTGCTGCGATGGACGAGGGCGACTCGTCGGGGCTCCTGCTGGTTCGTGGCCACGCGTGATGGGGCAGCGGCGCGCGAACGGCAATCACACAGCCTGGCAGCACTGGCTTGCGGGGATGGAGGCGCTCGGAGAGGTGCAACGGTGGTCGAAGCTCGCCGGTTGCTGCTGATCGCGAGTTGAGAGTGGAGGGCTTGCGAGAAGTTGGTCGATGATGGTGGTGATGGTGTGCTGATGATGGCGTGCGAACAGCAACAGCACGCGTGCAGCGTACGGGAAAGCTTGAGAGGAAGGCGAGCGACAGAGAGAGTGGCGATTATGGTGATGATAGGGAGAGGGTGCGGGGTTGGGGCACAAATGAAACGGAAGAGAAAAATCTCTATTTTCTGCTCAACACTTCGTAAGAGAGAACAAAACTAAGAGGGGTGCGGGAAATAATTTTTCTGCTGAGGGTTAACATACTTATATACGTGTAATTAGGTTTAACATTTTCTTGATCCACAAGACAATTTCACACGCACACACACGCACAGGATTAGAGGGAACCAGTTCTTGGGCGGGTCGGTTCACATGCGGGTTCGAGATAATAACTCTTTCTCGGGCTCGGTTTAATCGCACGATTAATTAAAATAAAATCAGATAAATATATATATTTAATACTTTAAGCACATAAAATCAATTAGGCAATTTGGATAATTAAATATAAATAAACACATAATAATAATAATAATAATAATGATAATAATAATAATAATAATAATAATAATAATAATAATAATAATAATAATAATAAAGAGAATAAATAATAAAGAGAACAAAAAATAACTTCAAATAATCCAAAATAATTCATAAACGAGCGGGGTTTTAGAGATTTTCCATCCCCCACCTAATACCTTAAATCCAAATTTAAGGATTTTCTAGCTCCAAGCCAATACCTCCACAACCAAGAATCAAACCCCTTAACCTAAACCTAACATATTCTTGTATTCCTGAAGTATTTCCATTTCATGATCCTACTAACTAACATTTTAGGTTTAGAAATTATTCTCCACAACTGTTTCACTAATAAGGACTCATTAAACTCTCTATGTAACTCCCTACTTTGATTTAACGAAAATCCATGGCTTTTCAAAAAATTCAATTTAATTTCGAAACTCATTTCAATAATATTGGTGGCGTTACTCATTTTTAAAACCAACATCATGAATATCAATATCAATAATCAACATAATTTCAATCATAGTTTCAACTCCCAAAACGGGTCTCATCATAATGTCATCAAACTCCCAAACCGGATCCATAAAATCAACATAGTTTCTAAGGAGTATTTCCTTAGCATTATTAAAATCCTCGCAAGTTCATAAAATCAGTTCATAAAGCGGAAGCACGTCAATTAATAAACTGGTCTCATAAACCGACCACCACTCGCTTTCCTCCGCTATGTCCGCACTTATTAACCTGCATCCATGAAGAGCAGGTGGAGGTGAGCACATATAGAATCCGTGGTGCTCACCACTATGCAGTAAACATTATTCACAATATAACAGTAATCATAAAATAAGTCAGGTATGGTCGCAGCATGTATACTAAACAATTATCTATCCAATCTCCCATCAATAATATCATAATAAGACTCATGTGCACACCTACGCATACACTACTGCTGACTATATACTGAAAGCCCCTTGGGTCTTACAACGAGTGCCCAGCCAGTAGATGTAATGCCCCGCTATTTTAATAGAAATATACCGAATTTATTTTTCCAAAATCAGAGTTAAATTTTCAAAAATCAAATCAAAGGTTTATTTAACGGGCGCTACTCAACAAATTCACATATCAACAATTAAGTCCACACTTAACTCATCAGGGAATAAACCATCCCGAACAGTTCATCTCATGCCAACATCCAACAAATACTCATTTATTAAAAAAAATAATACAAGTTATAATCAAATTCCAAAATCATCAATCAAGTTCAAATCCCCGAACATGCATAATAATTCCCAAAACCCATCATGGTTCAATCTCCTAAAGAACAGTATTAATCATGCTGACAAGAAATAGATACTAAATAGAAGCGAAAGCAGGTAAAACAGTTCAATAGCACATAATGACCCTGCCTCGCTTGTCTTATTTCCACGACCACCAGCTCAACCTGAAAAGAGATATAATAGTGGGGGTGAGCAAACACTTGCTCACCGTGGGAATACCATGCAGTATAATTAATATAAGGAATTAAAATCATAATCGCAGCATGTAAGCGAATCGACCAGTCTACCCTCCCTAAACACAGCCATGCTCATGTGATCACACCTAACTTATCAATCTTGAAAAAAGATAGGAAGCAAGCCGTCAATCCTGACAAGGACGGGAGTCGTCGATACGAAAAAAATGGGAGCAACCGTAGACGTACCGTCACACGGACTAAGCTCTCTAAAGGCTAGAGTTAGGCCTCATAGACTAACATTTCACATGCATACCTAGATTATCAAGCCAAGCATTTATAGAAATTAACATACAAGGTAAGGTTTATCAACACCCACCTGGTCGAAAGCAAGAGATACACAAAACATGTGTAGGCAGCGAGCTCGGCTCGTCAAACATCTACATATATTAAAATAGTCCTACAAATGACTATTCCACCCATGAACAACTAATCATGAAAATCACTTAGTCCAACTAAGTTCACATAAGCATTTAAGCAGGTATTTAATCAAGGAAATATCATTTCCGAATTTACTACATAAGAGTTTCAAAACTTAACCCGGGCAGCGTTTTTAAAATCAACATAACTTTTAGCACATAATTCATATCAACATGATTCAAATATCAAATTAAACCTAAGGCATGCTCCTATAACTTTCAATTAGAACATAAAAGCAGATAAAGTCATTTAGATAGTGCAAAAGCGGTTAACATTCTATATTCAGTTTTTGCCAATGTACAAAACCTCATCTCGTGCATGTCTACATTCATATGAGCATAACTCGAGCTACAGATATCATCACAGCATGAATCTTAACTCGTTAGAAAGCTAATCAACAAAACTATGATTTTCGTGAAGAGCATAAGTTCATACGAGCACATTACTACATGATAAACAGATCACACATTAATTACACATAAGCTGCCAGGTAACAGGAAAAACTGGGCGCGCAATATTCTCGTAAAAATCATAACTTACTCAAAATAGCTCGGAATGACAAAATTTCAAAGCTCAGAGAAAGCCAATAGAAAATACTATATTTCATTAGAAGACATCAAACTTCCCAGGTATTTTTAAGTTTTTCAAAAACAGCAAATCATACGGAACCACTGCTGCAACAATGAAAGCCAAAAACTAAACGCGCACTCGCTGTATATCGGCTATAACTTTCAGCATAAAAATGATAATCACGCGATTCTTGCTTGAAATGAAACCTAAGGAGCTGAACTACATTTATTCAGAAGAAATCGAACATATGCAATTGAGATTCAGAGGTCAAAAACTGCCTCGAACAGAAGTCAGCCACAACTTAAAAATAGGTTTTTCAAATTCGTTTCAAACAATTATAAATCGACTTCAAACAAGGATTCGATAGCACGATCGATGTATATATCTAACATGCGATATATGGTAACGACCATATTTGTAACACCCCACCTTATCGTAAAATCAGAGTGCGAAAATTTCGCAAAGTTATTAAAAATGAAATCTTTTACTTTGCGAAAACTGATTTGGGGTGCTACCGTAAAAACGTGACTTAATTTGGAAAACCGTTATCTTAATTATTAATAAAATTATATTGTTACTGAAAGCATAAAGTTTTCCAAAAGTCCGGTCAAAATATAAGTTCATCAAAAAAACCATCATCAGCGGAAACGTAAATCGTCATATTATATATACAATCAAAACATAAAAGAGCCTTCGTCTGCTCACGCTCCCTGCCCGACATCCTGACCTGAAAAACATGATAAAAGTGGGAAATGAGCACTATGGCACTGTGCTCCGTGGAAACTCATACTAATGTGAACATTGAAAATAATAAC